GTATGTGTGTGGGGGAAGCTGGGGTGGGGGGGGACTGCTGAGAGGAGTCTCCTTGGAGTGTAGATAGTTTGGAGGGAGAGAGCCAGCGAGCGAGCGAGTGAGTGAGTGTGTGAGAGAGGGAGGGAGTGGGGGGGAAGGACCCCTTTTGCTCTGCAAGATCTGAAGGGGGCTTTGGAGATCTGGTCAGCTTTCAGGAACATCTGAATCCTCTTAGAGCTCCGCGGCCCAGCTGTGAGTGTGTGCGAGCGAGCCGGGAGAGGGGAGCGGGGCGGCTGGTGCTCCTCCAAGCGCATTAAGGACACTCGGGCCTTTTAATTTTAGGAATGAATGCTGATACTTGTGTTTCTTATTGTGATCCGGCTGCCATGGAGTCCTACTACAACGCAGCCTCCCAGAGCACAGAGGGCTCCTCGCCTTTTAGGGCATTTCAAGCGAGTGACAAGTTCAGCCCCGCTTTCCTGGCCAGCAAAGGACAAGGCTTTGGTGACAGCAGCAGCAAGTGCCGGAGCCGCTATAGCCAGCAGGAATGTCAGTCCCTGGATGGCAGTGGGCAGGCTCCGAGCTCGGCCGGGGCTCAAGGCTCCTTTAACAAATACCCAGCTCAGCAGCAGCAGCATCTCTACATGCAGCGAGGTCCCTGCAAAACGCCCCCGGATAGCAACCTCAAGCTGCAAGAGACCAGCGGCCACAACGGAGCCCTGCCAGTGCCCTGCTACGGTGAGTTGCATTGGCTGAGGCTGGGGGTGGCACGCGGGGAGTGGGGTTGGGGGGGGAGAAGGGGACCTAGCACGCTTTGGGGTACGTGGGACACGGCCTGGCTCCCTCCTCCAGCGGAGGGGACGAGGATCCGGGGGTGCCGATCGGTTCTTGAATGGCCAAGAGCCGATCCCGTGTGAACAAGCTCGATCCGGCTTCGGGTCCTGGGTCCCGGTGAGGAGAGGGAAGGGGATGCGCTCCCCCCTGTGCCCCGATGCCCCGTCCTGTGCCCCAGGGGTGCTGGCGGGTGAGGGGCCCCGCTTGGGAACAAAGCAAACCCTGGCGGTGGGGCAAACGCGCGGTGCTGCGGGCAGAGCTCCTCGCCTGCGCCTTCCCGTCCCCTCTGCCCTCGCCTGGCCGGAGCAGAGGTCCCAGCCCGGGCATTGTCCATGCCAGCAGCTTTCTCTGCCCCAGCGCAGACGTCCCCGTGGTCCCGCCGAGGTCCCGGGTTCGAGAGCATGCGGGCTGGGGTGCGAGAGCCCCTACAGCATTAAAGAAGAGATCATTTAAACATAAAATGCTATAGGACGCTCCATCCTTGGAGGTTTTCAAGACCCGGCTAGACAAAGCCTGAGCTGGGATGATCTAGTTGGGGATGGTCCTGCTTTTGTGTGGCCAGGTCGGACGAAAATTGTCACTTCTGTCTGCACCCTAGATGACTTCCGGGGGTCCCTTCCCACCCTCATTGTCTAGGATGCCATTAACGTCTGTAGCTGGGTTTGAAAGAGACAAATCAAGAGAGAGAGAGAAAGAGGCAAAGCAAGAAAGAGGGGGAGTGAGGGCAGGAAAAGAAGAGAGGCAGCAAGGAAGAAGCCCAAATCGGTGGCACCCAGTCCCTGAGCCCAGCGAGCTCCCCGCTTCGGGGATCAGTGCCGAGGGCACTGACCTGGGAGGATAATGCAAAACTGCTCCTATCTCCATCTGGGCCCGGAGGCTGTTGAGCCACCCGAGATAACCCGCGTCCTCTTCGTCGCCGCAGCTCAGCCTGGCATGGGCACTTTGCCGCACCAAAATACACCCGGGTTTATTCTCGCTGCGGACCTGAAGCTGCGCTTACAGATGCTGGCAGGGCTGCTCTCTCTCGCTGTCACTTTAAGATGGAAAGAAAAAAACCCGTTTATTCCATAGCTAGGGACGAAAGTATATAATGTCCCTGTCCGTCCGCCCAGCCCATCCAGCTGCCCTGCTTCTCTGGGAATCACAGTGACTCTCCACCCCAGCCTGAGCTGGCTGCGCCTCCGGACTGATCCTTCACAGAGAGCCAAGGAGCAGTGGGAGCAATTACTTTCCGCTCTTAAAGCTAACAAAGGGTCACCTAAAGCGGCGGTAGAAAGGTCCCAAGCCTGGGAAACTGTAGAGAGGCCGGTGGTGCCCATCAGGGAGGGCATCGGGAAAAGATTTCGCAAGGAAGGCAAGACTGGGTGCGGGCAGGTCTCACCAGGGTCAGGTCCCGGCCCCTGCTCGATCGCCTCTGCTTTCTCCGCGCCTCTGTCTTCCCCTCCCTGAACTCCAAGGCAGCCCAAGGCACCTTCCGCAGGGGCTCCCGAAGTCTGGCAGTGTTTGCGGGCCGTGGGGAGAGCTGGCAGGGCAGGGCAGGGCTGGGCCGCCTTGGGCAGCCGCCTCCCAAGACACGGGCTGGGGGGAGAGGTCCAGCAATCGGGCGCAGCTTCAGCTTTGCCCGTCCGAGCCCAAGCCCCGCGAGCTCCGTGCCTGGGGACGCCCAGGGATGGTGCAGACTGGGTTGCTCCTGCCCGGAGCAGAGAGGGATGATTTCTCCAGGTCCCTTCCAGCCCTCTGATTTCCGGCCTGGCAGGTGACTGCAGGGGCCCAAGCAGCTCCCGAGCTAAGGGCCCGGTTTAGGAGCGGAGTCGCCCCTGAGAGAAGGCAAAGCCCTGCTCGCTCTGCACCCGCAGCCGCTGGGAGGGCAGCGATCACCCCCGGGCAGGGCGAAAGGCCCAGATCATCGCCTCGCAGGCAGAAAAGAGCTCAGAATTAGGCACTA